CCTTCCGCGCGAGGATGGAGTTGAGTCGAAAAAATATCAAGCATAGCTTGATTCCACGACTTCGTATTCACGATTTCGCGTGAAGACGGGCTAGGCGTAGATCTAGGTCTAGTTGAAGAAAAAAATGTTTTATTGCCTTCAAACTATTTTTATAACGTGACCAGGGTCCAAAAATTAGCAAAGTACAGGCTTACGCGTACGTACACACAACCTTTTATTGCTTCATTTTAAAAAAATTATTATTATTGAACGGGTTATTTTCACTATTAAACACGGCATACCCTTCAAGTCAAGTGTGTAGGCTACTCTTGCGTCACTAGTAACAATCAAACACGGCAACATGGTCGAAAGATAATGGTACGAGGTCTGTCTCAGAATAAAGTTTCCCTGTCATGCTGTCCTCATATATAATTATAAATCACCTTGTATTTGGTATCAAAGGAAAGCTTATTCAAATACCTATTCAACGTAGGAACCATCAAGTTCAAGACATTTCTCCTTCTGAGGTTCCCAGCGGTCAAAGACAGTGGTCAGTGATCATTTGTCCAAGGTCCCGAGTGCCTTTCTCATAGCCTCTTGAATCTGGTCCTCGTCCTCAAATCGCCGACCTCGCAGCATTTTTTTCACTTTGGGGAAGAGGTGGAAGTTGCAAGGGGCGAGATCGGGCGAACAGGGCGGGTGTTCCAAGAATTCCCACGAATAACCCTCAAAAAGCTCGTTCACGACTCTGGACTTGTGAACAGGCGCGTTGTCATGATGCAGGACGACGCCTTCTTCAAGCAAAGCTTGTCTTTTTTCTGGATCGCAGGTCTCAGCTTGTCTTTGAGGACGAACCTGTAGTAGCCACCATTGACAGTTATACCAGGTGTGACTAGCCAGCTCATGTCGAAAAAACCCCAATGTGCATCACCTTTCTCTTCCCATGTTTTCTACGTGCGCTTCATCTTTCATGTCAGACCTCCCACCTTCAGCCTCCTTGATCCATTTCCTTACTTTTTGAATTGATGGGTATTATTTTTTCCCTGTTAGTTTGTAAAGATCACCATGGGTTTCAACTGCAGACTTGCCGAGAAGAGTTGAAAATTTGATTACAACTCAGACATCGTAGCATGAGAAGGCTGCACCAATGTTTTGCTCAGCCATTTTCCTGGGATTTGCCTTGGACAAAGTGCACAAGTACCCCACACTTGACACGTCACAGCTCTATGACCCGTTCGCCAATGCACTTGCAATTTGGCGTTGAGATTTCTTAGTTATGGTGTCATGACCTCACAAACTTTAGTGGCTATTGGTTGCGTACTTTGAGTTTTATTGAGGAGGGAAACTTTCTTCTGGGACACGAGAGCCCCCTTCAGCTTCTCGTGACCTATTTTTTACGGGGGGGGGGTGCCGTTGGGGTGAATTCCAGATTCCCCATGTGGAAGGTTAAATCCAAAGATTACAGCATAGGATGTAGCGGGAACAAGCCTATCAAAAACTCGTCGATTTTGTGAAACGTTTTGAACCTGAAGCTGACAAGGATTTTGTCATTAAGAAATTTGATAATCTTCGGGGTTCTTCAAGACAACAATTACGGAAATTTGGTGCCTTGAAGGTTTCAGGATCGGGTGTAGACGAAGTAGAGGCAAAGCTGTGGTACTGCAATGCTGTGGAGTTCTTGAGATACCAAGAAATACCCAGGCCATCGCTGTTCAACATTGAGCCAGGTTTTGCAGAGAGAGACGGGTCTGGTGCCTTTATAAGGGAGTCGTATATGTCGCGACATGTCTCTGAAACTATTTGACACAATGCTGGTGAAGTGGAAGTTGAGAGAATTGCAAGTCATGGTACATGTAGTTTCCTCCCGCTGCTAGGAAATGTGAAGCTGCGGTCAGCCTCTCACGAGGACCTATCGATGCTCGCATTACCGTCGGCTGCTTTTCAATCAGGTCAACTTAGAATTCTTGGAAGGTGAATAATTTATATGTAGCCTCATCCATTCTCAATTATTTCTTAATATAGGCTGTTTCGATAAAACCGCAATTTATTCCAGATGTTTGTGTGTTAGCAATCATTTACTTGTCCAAAGTTTTCTCTTTCGCTTTCGTTTTTCTCGAATCGCAAGTATACATGTAGCAAGCACGTCATCCAAACCATCGCCAAACATGTGTTTCGCAACAATGGCGCGAAATACAATTAAAAGTCGGTCGTCGAGTGTAAATAAGGGGAAAACTTGGAGGATGGACTCACGGGGAAAAACTACTGGAGGTACATTCCCCAGAAAGCCACCAGAGTTCCGTCCCTACGTATTCATCACCTATAAGCGCCAAAGTGGGCCCTCCAAGGAGCGGACAAAAGCCCACAGTAAACTTGCATTATCTTGGTAGTAGAGAATCTTTGGTATGACTTCTCGTCCCACAGATCTTGACTGATAGTAATATTATGCTCCAAAGGAGATGCATGATAAATACGTTTGGAATCAAGGAAGGTCAAGAGTGTGCACACTAATTGTGATAGGGATATTATTTATTGTTGGGAATTTTTTTTTAATATGAACTTTGCAAAAACGATACGTCTAGAACAAACAATTCATTCGCCAATAGTGATTGCTGGAGGAGGCACTTGCCATTAGAAGAAGCACATTCACTGCCTTGTGGAGTGTGGCTAAGAATGAAGAAAAAAAGAGAATTAAAACGATAAAAAGTGATAGAGGGCGGAGGGATGTCAATTATAGGTATTGAGTGGTAATTGATTACGTTATATTGCAAATGACGGGCGAAAACGGTTAAAATCCAGGCTGAAGAAAGTGGAACGAAGGTAGAGTCTAGGTGCACCGGTGAGATTCTCTTAAAGACCAAGGAAGTTTGGTCTTTTTAACACTAACCTCGCACGGTATCGTATATCAACTATCGTATTTCAAGTATTTCAAGTTTTGCAAGAGGAGCAAACAAACTGATGGTTCACCACTATATCCATCGACAATACCTGGAATTTCAAATAAAAGTGTATTTTCACAAAATAATCGCACGTCTCTTGGGTTTTTGCAGAGCATGTACTCCTTCCCAGTGCATTGGAATATGTCAGAAAGCGATGTTTTTTTCTCAAAAGCCAGAGTTACAATGTTCGATACTGAGCGGCTACCCCGAGACTTGTTTTCAACAACAGAAGAAAAAAAACAAAGAACAGAAACAAAACATAAAGAGAAGAGGATAAGAATTGTGGTCTTGGGGAAGGGTGGTGGACTTTGATTTTTAAATGATTATTAAAAACGCATTGCTCGTTTCCTTTTATTGAACTTCTTTTTGTTTAGAATGTTTCTTTCTTCCCTCAAGCATCACGATGAATACCAGTAGCCAGCCAGAGGATATATCAGAAATGACGCCATCTCAGCACCCTGGGCCTTTCCATCAAATCGGAGATTCGGATATATGGATCTATTCAGCCTTTTACGAGCCTGTCAAACAGGGAGTAGACGCTCCGATGATTCGAGCCCTGGGGGTGGCGATGAGAAACCTCTCGGGCCTTGCTCTCAGTTGTCACGTGACCTATGAAGACCGATCAGTAACAACTGTTTCCGGGAGGCTGCGAGCTGCACTTGACCATCATCATAAATCGTAAGTCTTGTTTTTGTTGTTATAGTTGTTGTTGTTGTTGTTGTTGTTATAGTTGTTGTTGTTGTTGTTGTTTTTGTTGTTGTTGTCGCTGTTGTTGTTGTTGTTGTTAAAGTTGATGTTGTTGTTGTTGTTGTTGTTGTTGTTGTTGTTGTTGTTGTTGTTTTCTATCTATCTATCTATCTATCTATCTATCTATCTATCTATCTATCTATCTATCTATTTCAATGTTCTCTTTGCGCTCACTCTTAAGAAATTGTTTTGGAGGTCAGTAATAATCCCCCCCCACCCCCCTTTTTGGGGCATCCTCAAAATCAAACTGGGCAAAACTTTGATAATTTTAAAAATAAAGTGCTCAGTTTCTCGTCATGACAGTAGTGCTGGGAAGGGGTGGGGGGGGGGGCATCAAAGGAAGCAAAGGGAAAAGCAAGAGCCATCTTAGATTTGAACCCCGAACTTCCGTGTCGTCTCGTCGTCATGTTCGTGAACAAACCACATCATGAAAACAGTTGTCATTGATGCATACTCAGTACCTGTAATAGTCCCGTTGGTTAGAGCAAGAAAACTGTAGAATTGCACAGTAAAACTGTACCGCTTTTGTTCTACACAACAGTTCAGGTTCAATGTGATGCAAAAGGAGAACGTTTTTCAAATTAAAAAGAGGGAGGGGAAGGGAGTTGTTTTGTGTGGGGGTTTTTCTTGGGTTTTTAAATTAAAATTTTTTATTTTTATTAAGGGGAGTGGTGGTGTTTTGTTTTAATTTGTCTTTTGGGGTCTTTGTGATGTTGTGTTGAGACTGTGTCCACTATTTGGGAACTTTGCGGTGATTTAAAGATTGTTCCAGGTCCCTCGTGACGTCATATAGTAGAGATACATGTACCATGAAAGCTGTACAGCCAAGTTTCTTGTTGTGTAGAGGAAAAAATCAAACGTGCTTTCCTCTGTGTGTGAGGAAAATGGCTGTGTGTGTTTCTAAAAATAAGCAGTCGATATGTAATTTTTTAAATTATTTTTTTGAGGTAATAATTAAGGGGCTGGCATTTTGCGTCCGCGCAGATAATGTGCTTATTCTATTCTACACAAATGTGTATTAACAATCGTTGTTTTCAACTCCAGGTACAGTGCCAGCTTCTTGTACTGTCCAGTAACCGGAACCAGAAAACCGTCTTTCGTGGCGTTTTCCTTGAACAAACACGAGACACCAGGACACGAGTTCCAGGTTATGTTTCCTGCCTCTAAGCGTGTAAGTCTCATAATGTGGAAATAGTTTCGAGTATAGTATCTCAATTTTTAGCTAAAATGTCTATTCTGGTTACCAAGTATCTGGAGTAACCGGCATAGGTGGGAAACTGTGTGTGTGTGTGTGTGTGTGTGGGTGTGTGTGTGTGTGTATGTGTTTGTGTGTGTGTGTGTGTGTGTGTGTTTGTGTGTGTGTGTACGCGCGCGCGTGCGTGTGTGTGCCCTTGTGTAGGCCTACGAGTATACATTAGAGTGTGTACCCGGTTTTGTACATTTACAGAGACATATTTTACAGCACAAAAATTTTTTTTTAAACAGACCAACATAAATGTCTCCAAATACGTGCGTAAAAATCTTTTATAATAAGATACAGTATAATCCGCTAATATCGACGTGCTTTGAGATGTGGATTTGATGTCGATAAGTAAAAATGTCGATAAATGAAAATATAAAGCCAACGAGGACAAAATAAGGGGAGGTCAGCAGTAAAAGACAACACAACTTTTATAAAGTTGCTTGCTTCCTTTGATTCTTGAAACTAACTAGAGTCAGAGGGCAAAAGGCGCGGGGGAGGGGGTGGAGTTAAGGTACCAAAGACCCTGCAGCGCGAGCCGCACACTACACACCAGCGCAAACTTTGTTGTGGCATCCTTGTAAGGCTTGTTTATGGACGCTTACTGGGGAAAATGGAAAGGCGAGGCACTGACTTGCTGACCGTGGCACTTGCCAGCGACAGACTAAGAATGGGATGGGGAAGGGGAGTGAGCTGGGAGTGATCGGGAGTAGGGGTAGGGAGGGGATGCCCAGCGTGCGAGACTCTCAGGTCTGTGAGGCACTGTACTGTGTTAGAGATTACACTGTGTAGTGAAATGGTGAAATGGTATGGGTTTAACGCCCTATCAACACTATTAGGTTATTTAAGGGGCGGGACCTCCTAGTTTTGCGTCCGTCTCCGATAGGACAGAGCCAAGAGGGAAGTTCGTGTAAAGTGCCTTTCCCAAGGACAAAACGTCGGACCCAGCTGAGGCTCGAACCCCCGAACCCACACGGTGTAGGCCCTACATGACCTACTGAAGCCTGGTGCGTCGATATGGGCTACTTGGCGGGTATGCGGACTTAGTAAAGAACTAATGCGTTGACCATAAGCGTGCCCCCCCCCCCCTCCCCTTTTATGTCCGTGGGCTTCAACAGGTACCCAGGAAGCATGTCGATGAAGCAGAGTGGGCCGAAAAAAAAGTCGATATAAGAGAAATTGTTTAGTAAAGATATTGAAGGGAATAATTCGTAATTGGAAAATATGTTGATATGTCAAAATGTTTATAAATAAGATGTCGATATTAGTGGAGTATAGTATATCTATCTACCTTGCAGGAGAGAACCTTCACGGTTTGCTACAGTGTCATTTATGGGAACTACGACTGCTACTCGATGCTACTTCAGTCCATAACCTACAATCGCATGATGGGAGCAGAACATTTCTTTCTCTACAACCAGACCATGGGGCCCAGGGCGGACGCAGTCGTCAGGCACTTCCAGGACTTGGGGATAATGACAGTTCTCAGCATGCCGGAATTCCCAGCCAATGAAGCTTGGTATCACAGTCAAATAATGGCAATAAACGACTGTATCTATCGGAACCGAAACATTTCGGAGTTTGTCGCGGTAGTCGATCCCGACGAATTTATCATGCCCGTTCAACATCACTCGTGGGGAGAAGTGCTTAAAGCAGTAACCGACAGAGAGATCAAGGAAAAGCGAGGCGAGAATGTCGGTGTGTTTGCTTTCGAGCACTCGATGTTTTGCAACAATAGACTAAACAACACAGAATGGGCGACGTTCAAGAAAAACTTTCAACTCAGCGATGAAGAAGGAAAATTCATAGAGAGAAACGATATAACTACCTTACTTGAATTGCGTCGGAGTAATCTGCTGCGCTTTCCCGTGAGATCTAAGTGTATATATCGCCCTGAGGTTACTAGACAGGCAGGGATACATTATGTCAGGAGCCTGTGGTCAGGTTATCGTAATGTTGTGGTCAACAGCAGTTTGGGAATCGTTGGTCACTATAAAAACAAGAAAGGGGACTGTTTTCTTGACCTTAAAATACTCTGGTTTTACAAAAAATACTTAACAGCGCTGAGGTCATCCTATGCTAACGTTCAGGCATATATCTTTTAAACAGGAACATTTCCACAACCAATGTTCAAATATTCTCTAACTCAGAGGCGAAACAACGTCCAATAACTAAAGCATGAATGAAGCACGCGACTCTCAACAAGGGTTTGTCATGTGCAAATGAAATTTAATTCGTCCAATTTATAAAGACAGGAGAGTGTCAATATGTGGGTGTTTTTGTGTAGTTTTAGCCTCACTCTGTTATTTCTGTGACCTTGACCTTGAGACAGAAAGAGGGCTGAACTGCTGTATCATCTTCCCGTTGTGCAACAGCAATGAATTTTTTTTTTAAACATTATCCGAATGTATGTTCTAGCTTTCGGTTTATGTTGATGGCAATTGGGTCATAAACAAGGAATTTATTAACGTCTCTTTGAACGAACTTTGTTTCTGGTCCGCTGGTTCATGTATTTTAAACAGAGCTGCGACTGATTAGTTCACACACATACACACACATATACTCGTAGGCCTATGTATATAGTAATTGCTGTTTGAAATTAAAATGAAAGCTTAGCAGAAACAAATAGGAAAACAGCATGCCAATAAAGCACCCGGCTGTTCAAAATTTAAAAAGGGAAAGGGGGGGGGGGGGGGTATTACAAAAAGTTGGAAAACGAGGTTGATTGGATACAAACTTTTCAGAATGGCAAAACTTTTTTTTTGTAAAATAGGGTTGTACATTATCTGTCTGAGGCGTAACTCCTGGTCTATATAAGGGTACAGCAAAACGAACGGACATGACATCTTCCATTTTGTGCATGGGAAACACAAGACGGCCTACCAGCGACACCATTGACAGACAGACAGACAGACAGACAGACAGACAGACAGACAGACAGACAGACAGACAGACAGACAGACAGACAGAGAGGTGTGCTAGACTCCCACCTACAGTATTTAGCTCTGTCAAAACCGCCCGTTCAAGACAGGTTGAGCTCAATCAAATTTTACGTTGTACTAATGCTTGAAATTGTCTCATATATAGTACATGTCGTGTGTTATGGTAATGCGTACCATTGATCGGGTACATGTATATTTTTTATTTTGTGCTTTTGTGAAAAATTAATATAATTTGATAGGGATCAATAAAATGCTCTTGGCATTTCTTTTCTTTCATCTTCATCTGGGCCTGGGTTTTGTAAATGCTCTCATTCTACACAAACTCTCTCTCTCTCTCTCTCTCTCTCTCTCTCTCTCTCTCTCTCTCTCTCTCTCTCTCTCTCTCTCTCTCTCTCTCTCTCTCTCCCTCCCTATCTCTCTCCCTGTACCGCCACATTTGTAGCGCAATGGGTTTGGAACTTGACCTAAACATGGAAGAATGCCTCTCCGATAGTATCTTGATTTCGTGGAAACAAAGGATCAACGTTTCTTTCCCATTTTTTTTTTGGGGGGGGAGGAGGGGGGGGGAGTTAAAACTATTTAAAGAAGACTATTCAGTTTTTTTATCTTTTTCCACTGTTGTTCTAAATTCTATTCCCTTTAAGTTTTGCTCTACTTTTCTTGACCAAAATTAATCAGTGACCAACACTAGTTAAATTATTTCGGACTACTAGAAAGCAGCCTGTTTCTACCCCTTAGCGTCAGTGTCACAGCCAATCCCGCTTGACTGGATATTATAGCTTCAAAACAAAAAGATGGAAAACATACTCGATGAAAGACCGTCTTTCCAACCCTGTAATCGGCCAACGTCTTTTGCATGCAACAGCTAAGAGCCTAAACATTATACCACAGACATCAGTGTTCCGGGTGTTTTTGGACAATAAACGTCCCTTGTTCCCTCTTACGAAAATATCAGTCAGAAGTAAAAGGCCTAAATCTAGACTTCTTAACTGTACAAAGAAAGATACAGAAGGTCATTCTTAGAAAGATACAGAAGGTCATTCTTAGAAAGATACAGAAGGTCATTCTTACCACCATCCATCAAACTTCTTCCGTCTTAACCATTTTGATTTAAGTATTCATGATATGACCTGAGACCATGCATCTGAATACCGTTGAGTTACATGTACAATCAGAACACTGAGTATGTATCTAACTTAACATTATTATTGTGTTTACTGTTCATTTATATCGTGTATGTGACTGTAAGCTTGCGTGTGTGAGTGTGTGTGTGTGTGTGTGTGTGTGTGTGTGTGTGTGTGTGTGTGTGTGTGTGTGTGTGTGTGTGTGTGTGTGTATGTTTTAATTGAGTTGCGGTTTGCTGATTATAGTGCTCTATTTTTCCCGCACTGTGTTCAGGATGTGTAGCAAGAGTTGAATTTTCTCTGAAGTAAACAGCAAACCACATATTCACCTGTGTGTGCATTTAAGTCAAACTTCGTCTGTGGAAGTTAAAATAAATACACAACGTAAGTAGAAAGAAGGGGTCTAGATCCCCCCCGTTTTAGGTAATGATTTAAAAACTGCCCGTTTTAGGTAATGATTTAAAAAAAACTCCCCGTTTTGGGTAATGATCTAAAATCGAGGTGGTTTTGGGTAGTGTTCTAAATGGAGCTGGTTTTGGGTAGTGTTTTTGGGTCGAGGTGGTGTATGGTAGTGTTGTATGTGTATGTGATTTACGGGGGGAAACAAAAAGTTGCGTTGTTTTAGATTGAGTAGAAAATGTTGATGT